CTGTCCACTTGACAGCAAACAAGGCCCGCCTGATCTTGGTGCTTATGGATTTAAGGAGAGACCATTCACCATGCTGGGGTGTCTTTCACTGACCACAGTCAGTATGTGTGGAGATAGGCAAGATACATGCACAAAGCTGGATTGAACAGGGTTGTAGTTTCGGCAAGTGAATGCACAGAAGCAGAGAGGGGCAAGGTGCAAGGGAGGCCCATGGTGAGTGCCCATGGAGTGTGAGCTCAGTCAGACCCAGCTGGCAGGCAGTCAGTAAGGAGATGGTTGAATTGAACAACACTGTTATCAACTGGATCTAGTTCATGTTTATCCAGTTCTCTACCTCACAACAGCAGAATATTCATTCTCTTCATGCTCATATGGATGATAAAACACATTCTGGGTCACAAAATATACCTTAACAAATTCAAAAGAGTAGAAATCCTACAAAGTCTGTTCTCAGCCACATGGAATTAAACTAGAAATCAGTAACAGAAAGAAAGCTGAAAAATTTCAAAATCTTTGGAGATTAAACATCACACTTTTAAATAACATGGGTCAAAATGAAGCCACGGGAAAAATTTTAAAAGAATATTTTCAAGTAAATAAAAATACAACATGAAAAATTACGGAATGCAATAAAAGCAGGGCTTAGAAGGAAATTTGTAGCAATTAATTCATATGTTAGAAATGAATTATTGAGTCAGTTGACATGAGTTTTAAGACTAAACATTTTATAGAGGAGGATGGACAGATGCTGAAAGTGACATGAGATGTAAGAAAGACTCTTAACCTTCAAAGAACAAGAGAAGTGGGAGAGAAAACTGCCACCACCTGAGAGCCTGCAAGGGAAGCAGAGTCCCAAGGGGAAGGTAGGTTCCAGTGACCACGAAGATTCAGGAAAGTTCAGAGAAGAAATTAAGGCTGTGGACATTTTGCTGATGATTTTCAAAGGGCTCTGTGGAAGAGCTTCAGGGAAGGGGATCACAAAACGGAGTGTCAGAAAGGGGTGGGGTAAGGGTTTGAGGGTTAAAGGACACCCAACCAAAACAAAGTTAAGGGCATGATGAGTTAGGGCAAGTTGTCCTCATGCTGCAAGAAAGAAGTTGTAGGGGTCTCCTGGGGACACACGGAATTTCTGTTGTCACACCACATTGAGGCTGGTGGTAGAGTAGCATCACTCTGGGTACTCAAGTCTCTGTGACTCCTGCTGATGGAAACCTGCAGAGGGCACTCTTCCTGAGCAGGGGAAACAGTCCATCCCTGTCCCCCAGAAAGAGCGGGGAACCTTAGTCAAAAGAGGGTTATTATAGAGAAACTCAGGGAAGTAAGGAAGACAGGCAGCTACACTTGCTAGTTAGAAGACTGTGATACATTTACTTACCGTATGTTAAAATTTGTGACCATGCTGACTGAGATTTTAATTATGTGTGAGATTGCAGTCATTTGTGACTGCTAATTTTAGTGTTTAATCTTTTTGTAAAACAGTTGTTCATACCTCTGTTTTTACTGTTAGTTGTTGCTCATTCTCATGTTTTAAATTCAAATTCTGAGAGGATATCCAGTCATCTCCACCAGCTAATCCACCCATTCCTTTCTTTCTGTCTGCCTTCCTCCATCCCTGTGATTTCCATCCGTGCTCCCATCAGTGCATCCAGTCTTTCATTTAGCAAGTATTTATAACATCCCAAACTAATATAATACTATATGTCAATTACACCTCAAAAAAAGAAACTTCTTCCAAGAAACAAAAAACTCAGGTATTTATGGAGCATTTGAAGATCCCCTGGAGAAGGGAATAGCAGTCCACTCCAGTACTCTTGCCTGGAGAATTCCACGGACAGAGGAGCCTGGCGAGCTACAGTCCATGGGGTCACAAAGAGTCGGACACGATTGAGTGACTAACACTTTCTTTCACTTTAGTATGTTTCAGAAACTGTTTTAGGAGACTAAAGTGATGACAGCAGATAAAGCTTAAAAGTGCCTGAGAAGTGCTATGAAGACAAATAAAACAGAGTAAGGAGGAGAAGGAATACTGAGAGAGAGGGAGAGATCAGAAAAGAGCTCTCTGATAGTGACATTTGAGCTAAGGCCCTGAGGGAAGTGAAGGAGGAAGGCATGCAGGAAACAACAGGAAGAGCATCATGAGCAGAGGAAAAAGAAACTATTTCAGGAAGCACAAGGAAGTCAGTGTAGCCGGAGTGAAGCCACAGGGAGAGTGGAAGGAAGTGAAGTCACGTAGGTGTGCATGTGGTGGGAGGGTGGTGGGTGCTGAGCATGAGCCGAAGAGTGAGAGTGTGACTTGTTTTATTTACAGTCGTAGAATTTTATTCAGGTTCATAAGTGATTAATTTTCTTTCTAAAAGTCTAAACAGAAATCCTATTCATATATAATTTTTTTAATTCACATACAGTAAAATTCACCCTTTATAGGATCTGCAGGAACACTGTGCCTGCAGAGAACAAAATCCATGGATGCTGAGGTTCCTTATGTTTACATGTAACCTACGCAAATCCTCTCACGTACTTTAAACCATCTCTGATTTCTTGTAATACCTAATACAGTGTAAATGCTGTGTAAATAGTTGCTGGGATGCTGTGAACTGGAGTTTTGTTGTTTTGGAACTTTGTCAAAGAAATTTTTCCCCTGAATCTGAGATTGGTTGAATTTGTGGATGTGGAACCTGAGGATATGGACTACAGTTTTGACAACACATGTAGTCACGTGACTGTCCCCCTAGTCTAGATGTAGACCAGTTTCCCCACTCAGAGTGCACTGGGACCCCTTTGTGGTCAACACGGCCCTCACCTGCAGTTCCTGATACCACTGTTCTCTTTTCTGGCCTTTTACCTTTGTCTTCAGAGTTATGTGGGGACTTCCCTGGTGGCTCAGATGGTAAAGCGTCTGCCTACAATGCAGGAGACCCCAGTTCAACCCCTGGGTTGGGAAGATCTCCTGGAGAAGGAAATGGCACCCCACTCCAGTACTCTTGACTGGAAAATCCCATGGATGGAGGAGCCTGGTGGGCTACAGTCTGTGGGGTTGCTAAGAGTCGGGACATGACTGAGTGACTTCACTTTAAACTTTTTTCAGAGTTATGTCTGTATGGCGTCATATAAATGAAACTATATCATGTAGCCTGTGCTGTATGTATGTATATTTATTTGGCTGCACTGGGTCCTAGTTGCAGCAGGCGGGATCTTCAGTCTTCGTTGGAGCATGCAGAATGCCCCCTGCAGTGGACGTACAGAGTCCTAACCACTGGACTGCTAGGGAATTCCCGAGTCTTCGTGGTCCAGTGTGTGCATGTGCCTCTGTGTGTTTATCCAGTCACAAGTTTAGGGACATTCCAGTTGTTTCCAATTTTAGATGAATAAAAAAGTAAAGCTACTATAAAAATTGACATACTAGCTTTTGTGTGAACATAGATTTTCATTTCACTTAGATAGTTGCCTCAGAGTGGGATTTCAGAGTCAGATGGCAAGCGTATTTTAACCGTATAAGAAACTATCATACTGTTTTCCAAAGTGTTTGTCTCATTTTGCACTCCCACTACCAATGCATGTCACTATTTAAATTTTAGTCATTTTAGTTGGCATGTAGTGATGTCTTCTTGTGGTTGTAAGTAGCATTTCCCTAGTGACTAATAACACTGGGCATTATTTTTATGTAATTATTTGCCTTCTATATATATCTTCTTTGATGAAATGTCTTTACAATTATTTCATGCCTTTGAATAACTGCTGTTGAATTTTCAGAGTTTTTAAAAAAGTATTTAGGATTAACTTCTTTATCAAATTTTTCTTTTGAAGATATATTCTACCAGTCTTTGACTCTCTTTTTTCCCATTTTTTTAAAAATAGGGTCTTTTGAATAGCAGATGTTTCCAATTTTTACTTAAGTCCAGTTATCAGATTTTAGGTTTTACATTTAGGTCTGTGATCTATTTTGAGTTAAATCCTATGCAGTGTGAGGCATGCATCAAGGAACATATATATCTTTTTTTTTAAATTTTTTTAATATATTTCTTGAAAAGATTATTCTGTCTTCTTTGAATTGCCATTTAGGCTTATGTATGGTTGTGTCTATGAGCTCTTATCTGTTCCATTGATCTGTGTATATTTGCCAGGACCTCACAGTCTTGATAACTGTAGCTCCATGGTTCTCAAGTGGGAACAGTTTTGCTTCTCCCTCACCCTGCACCCCAGGCTATCTGGCAATGTATGGGGACACTTTTGGTTGTCATAATTGGTGGGTGGAGGTCAGGGATGTTACTAATCATCATATAATCCACAGGACAGCCTCCCACAGCAAAGAAGTATCCAAGCCCAAATGTTTGTCTTGTAGAGTTGAGAGACTCTGTGTAGTTTTACAGTGACTCTTGAAATAAGATATTGTGACCCAAACAAGAGCCGTTTTGGAGGAGTGAGGAGAATAATATGAACATATGAGGATGCTGTGAGGATGAAACTGGACAGTGTATGTAAAAGTGCTGGCCACGCAGCTTAATGCTAATTAAATGCTAATTTCCTCATCTTTTGTTACTGCTCCTGAGCTTGACCAAATTTTCTCTCTTTACAGTCCCTTCACTGTGACTTCTGCACTTGTCCAGGGCCTACTTACTCGATTTTGAGACTCTCACTGTGACAGGCACTGTTAATAGAGTCCTGCTTGTTTCTCCCTTGCACACGATCGTGTGTGCCCTGGTGCAGGGCCTGGTATTTGTTGTCAGAGCAGAGTCTCTTCCTCTTTGGCCACCTGCTCACTACGGAGGTGTCAGGGTGAGATCATGCTTAAGATCTTCTCCTGGCAGATTTCAAGTGTACAGTGCACTATTAGCAGCTGTCCTTGGTTCCTTTGTGAGGGTGGTTCATGCTGGTGCTGAACTGTCTGATGTACTGGACAAGAAGGTGAAAGCCTCAGGCTATCCTGTTCTGGGAGGGCCCTTCTGGGCCAGATTCCCGAAGATTAACGACCTTGCTGATGACTTTCTCTGGCCTTATGCTGATCCTGTGCTGCATGGCAACTCTGACTGGGCAGTGCCCTTGGCCAGGAGGGACCTCAGAGCATTTGCTGCACCTGTTCCAATCTGAACATTTCCCCATGCATGACATTCATTTCACTATTCATTCTTTCATTTAAATGTGACATTTATGGTGCTGTGTTCAAGGATTATAATAAGGAAGGAGATAGAAATGGTTCATGTCCTCACAGTTTACACTTTGGACAAGAGGCATTAAGTAGCTTAATAAATACTCAGTAAAGTTTGTAAAATGAACTATAGTCAGTTCTCCATATCATTCATATAATGTGAATTAGTTTACATTTTGTCTGTGCTGCTTTGATGCTAGAACGGTAGAGCTGAGCGATTGCAGCAGTCACAGAATGGCCTAGATAGCTCACAATATTTATTATGTAACACGTGATAGGAAAGTTTGCTGACCCCTGGTTGGATACCTTAGATGTGTTCAGAAGATAACGGTCACTCAGGGATGTCCTCTGAGTTAAGGGTGAGGAGGGAAGCAGCACTGATGGAACCACGTGTGGTCACAGACTCTCATAGACGCGAAGCCTTGCGGGGGCATCTTCTTGTCCAGTACGTTGGTCCACTTAGCACCAGGCTGGGCCACCTTCACATTGGAGGCTGCATGGTGACTGTAGTTAATGATACAGAATTGTTTACTTAAAACTTGTTGGAAGTAGATCTAAGTATTCTTACCACAAAAGTCCATAAAAAAAACCCAAAAGATAGCTGGGAAAATTCCCCTGTCACTTTATTCCAAGACAGTTTCTAGGAGAGAGGAAGACATTTCTTTCTACTCATGAAAAAAAATGCAAAAAGTACTGTGAGTCAGAAATGTCTGCCTACCAAAATCCGTCCTCCTGGTTTCTTAGTGTGGCGTGGTAGCTGCCTGATAGCTGTCCAGTCAGGAACTGCATTTCCCACTGTCCTTTGTGTACCCATGTGTACTCAGTCTAGTGTACCCATGTGACTAGTTCTGACCAACAGATTGGGAATGGGAGTGACCTGTCATTTGCAGGCTGGGATTTTTAATGAAATGCTCACTTGCAAGCCCTCTGTCCCCTTCAGCTATCTGGATATAGAGGGCTCTGAGGTTCTGCAGCAGGACTTCTGAAACTTCTGTGTGTTTCAGTCACCTGTATCTGGAGATCTTAAAGCACAGGGCAGGTACAGTAGGTCCAGGGCAGGGTCTGAGATCTTGCATTTTTAACAAGCTTCCAGGAGATGGCAGTGCTGTTGGTGCTTAGACCTTTATTCTGTGGTGGAGCCATAAAATGAAAGGAACCTGTCTCTGAATCACTAAATAAGAAAAATCTCCTTTACTCAGCAACTCCTGATCTGTTACCTGAGTGAGAAATAAGCCTTTGCAGAGGGGTATGGGCGTGTGTGCATGCTCAGTCACGTCCAACTCTTTGCAACCCCTATGGACTCTAGCCTGCCAGGCTCCTCTGTCCATGGAATTTTCCAAGCAATACTGGAAAATACTGGTTGCTGTTTAGGGGATCTTCCTGACCCAGGGATCGACCCCACGTCTCCTGTGCCTCGTGCATTGCAGGCAGATTATTTACTGCTGAGTCACAAGGGAAGCCCATTTAAAAACCTGCCAAAGCCTTATGCCATTAGCTCATTGACAATAGCAGTGGTTAAGGGGAAGACAAAAGTCTGGATTCTGTATTTGTTGACTTGGTTTAAAAACAGAGAGTGAAAATGTTTGGGATGGGTTGTGAATGACCTGCCTCACGTGGCGGGAAGGTTAGTGGAGAGCAGACCATGAGGGTCTTTGACCCTGAGAAGTCTCAGTGCAGGGAGTTGAGTTAGAGTCTCTTAAACAAGGGACCAGCGGGTGAGTGCCAGGGCCCTGGTGCAGGTTGCAGGGCAGAGGTTGGCTGGAGGAGCCCAGCCAAAAGTGTGGTCACTTAAAGGCTGCTTGACACCAGTGACAGAAGCCTGGGCAGGGAGGCAGATGGGATACATGGTATCTGAGTGTGTGTGTTATTGGGGAAAGTTGCAGTTGAAGCAGAGAGGCAGAGTCCAGACCTGCTCCAAGGTCAAAACCCATAGGAGCCTTTTGCCTCCTTGCAGTGAACATTCACAGTGGGGAGGCCAAGTTCATCTGAGGAACCTTGACCAGCTGGACCCAGCATGCTAGAATTCAGCCAAGGATGCTAGTGGGAAATCCCTCCCTAGGTTCTGAGGAAGAAAGGCTGGAACAAGAAGGCCTGCCCTATCACTGTTGGTATGGTCCTGACCTTACCTTCCTGAAATAAAGCCAGAGCTGGGTCTTCTCAAGGCCTGCTGGATTTCAGACAGAGCTGAGCCTGAGCAGGAACAGGAGGAAGTCAAGGGAAAATAATTACTGGTTTTGGATAAAGCACCTGGGTGGGTTGCAGAAGATAGCCTTTATCCTATCCGGTGTTCAGGTAACATCAAGCCCTTCTGTCAGAATTGTGTAGAAATAGCAGCAAACCTGAGAATTGCTAACTGTCCACTTTGACTAGTCAGGGTCACTTACCATGTTAAAAACCATTTTTCTTCAAGGGAAACTATAGTGGATTTAGACATGAGACCAGTCTTTTTTTTTTTAATTATCTGATGTATTTAAATACGCACCATGCACCTATGGTATGTTAGGCACCATGAAGATTAATTGTAGAAATCCAAGATGAATTTTCATACTTTGATGATAGAGAAGAGAGCAGATTGTAAGAAAGTGAATCTGTGTCCTGATTAGATGCCTGTCCAGGAAAGCTCTTGGAAGAATTGAAACACACTAGCACGGCCTCTGGGGTCCTTCCGGAAAGGCTGGCGACTGCCTCATCTGGGGGCTGGGGGAGGCTGAGCTCCGGGTCAGCAGCCTGTGAGGGCGGCAACCTCCAGCAGAGGATGGAGAGGAAGGAAGGGAGGCAGGAAGCATAAAGGTGGTCTCTACCCCAGCTCCGGGTTCTGTAGGGGGACCCACATTGTGTCAGGCCATCCTTCCAATGAAAGCCTTCAGTGCCTTGCTGTGGTGTGGAGGCCCACATCCTGGCCAGGGCCTGTCAGGCCTGTGAAGTCTTCACCCCACGGCCCCCCAGCCTTCTGCAGGCCAGTTTTTGATATCCTCTGCCCCCAGGTGATGGGCTGCTATCAGGTCTCAGGATTTGTAGCTTGGCCCCCAGGCCTTTTTCTTCTCAGGTGGCTGAACCGTTCCAGTTTGCCCAGGACTCAAGGTGGGGAGGGTGTTGCTTGGATGCCCACTCAAGAGTTTCGAAACTAGGACCATCCTTGTCAAACTGGGGAAAGTTGTCACCTTGTTCCCCGAGGCCTGGACCCCCCACGCTGTTCCTGTAGTGACATCTGCACACATTGAACCAGTCCCCTGCTGTTTTCTTAGGAGAAGCCCTGGGTATACCCCTCCTGGCCTCATGGGGCCTCCTGCTTGCCCACTCTGGCTCCTTCACTTCTCCTTTGTAGCTCTTATTACAACTGCAAGTAACATAACTAGTTGTGGAATTAGCTTCCTGATATTTAAAGCCTGCACATCTCTGACAGGTGGGTAGTGCCTGTCTGGCTTAAAGTTATAGTCTCGGCCCTCTGCATGGCATCTGCCACACGACTGACACTGATAAATATCTGCTGAACGAGAATTCCGGAGCACCACTGCAAACCATTACATATCTCTCAGCTGGTAAGAGCAACAGCTTAAAAGTGTGTCCATGTCATTGTATATGTACTCTGTGCTTGAGTCAGAGTCCCTGGCTATTTCTTGGCACCCTTAACAGGTGCTCAGGTCTCCTTATTTCTCACCTGGAGGATGTCAGTGCCTGCCAGCGCGTCTCCTCTCTCCACTGCACCTGGACAGGGCTGCCAGGGCCTCCTCCCAGAGCTGAGTGCTGAGTTCATCTTTGCTCAGAAAGCTCTAATGGCGCTCGACTCCTCATAATAGCATTTGTGATCTGCTTTCCCTTACCTCTGTTTATTCTTCTGCCTCTCTGTCTCTCTCTGTCAGTCTCAGCCAAAATAAACAATTCATTGTTTCTCTAACGTACCTCCAGGTTTCTTAACTCTGACTTCCCTCATGCTGTTCTACCCCTTATCCCTCCCTTACCTTTTGAAATCCTACCCATCCTCCAAAGCCCACTGATCCACCCCTTGTCCAGGGTCACTTCTGCCTGCCTCCACCCATTTCTGCGTTCTGTAGAAACAGACATTCCCGCTGTGTTAACTGTCTTGATCTTCTAACCAGATTATAGGCAACTTGAGAACAGGGGCTGTGTTCTGTACATCTGTAATGCTTTATAGACCGTACTCAACACTATTCAAAATTGTTTGTTACACTGAGTTAAGTAGGTTTAACTTCATGTTCCTTTTGTTTCATGTAGCCCGTAAAATAATTTTATAAAAATTCTAGGTCTGATTTCATTTTTAAGTTGACATCTCCGTTTTTTTCAGCAAATTTAAATATTGCCAAGGATATACTTTTTTATATATGGTTTAAAAGTATCTTATTTAAACCTTGTAGATTTGACTCATTTAACTTATTTATGGAAAATACCTGCTATATAATTTAACTGGCAAAACTAGTCCTTGTGGTCAAGTCAGACAAACAGCCAAACCACACATTCAATCAGAAAAGAAGTCTGGCTTTATTTTAAAATTTAGATAAATGTGGGTGCTAATTCTTACATAGGAACCCTGTGGGGCTCTTGAATTGAAGGAAGGCATTGCCCGTGTAAGTGATGCTCTCTAGTTTTCTCTCCTGACTCCCAAAGGCTGCCTTCTCCAGTTATCACTTTAATGCCCTAGAGGTTTTACACTTCAAGGGGATGAACAGAGTCAAATTTAGGTTACGTGATAAGTCCATCTTTCTTCCATAATGTGGAGGGTCCTTGTGTAGGGCAGGTGGGAATGGGCAGTGGGCAGGCCACGGGCCTTGAAACGCATAAAAATGGAAGATAAAGTTCTGGAAGTGGATTCCAGGTAAACCAGGCCTCTGCCTGTGTGTGCCCTGGAAAGTCTCTGTGTACCCTCCAGGGACTGTGTGTTCTTGGTGTGAAGGCATTTGACCCAGGAGGAAGGCACAGTGGAGATCGCATCTTCTTTCACATGGATACACCTTGTGAGAGTTTTAGAAAATTTACCTTCCACTTAATGAAGAAAGGTCACTTTGTTGTTTCACAAGATTTCCAGATGAACTCATTCTCCAAGACGCCGTTACATCAGAAGAAAAGATCCAATGAAACTCTCGGAATCTTTTAAAACAGATGCGGCCTTCATCTGCGGTTGCCAGCAACCCTCCCCCAGGGCGGTGGACAGACTTCAGCTTTCCTGGATCGCTGGGCTGCCGGGGTGATATGCCACCAGTGTGGCCCAGCAGGAGGTCAGTGTAATTTGAGATTGTTGCTCCATCATTTATTCCCAAATGTTTACACACTACAGCTGCTATTACCACCAGTGAGCATAACCATCATCTCCACACATTTAATTGGTGCCCTAAATAAACTTGACATGATGCAGAATCATGCACTACCATTGGACATAGTGCCCTTACTATGTTAAGACTTGGAAAGCACTGTGGAGATTTTGTAGGCATCCCATCTGGCGCTATGGTTATCTGAAAAAGAAATATTTTTAGTTCAAATTCTTGAGCAGTTAGGTCACTTGATTTTGCAGTGAGTTTGGCCTGAAAAATATCAGTTGGGCAGGGTCAGATTCATTCTAGGGGAGCCCCAAGCTTACACAGTTTGGGAGAGACTCAATAAGAAAGAAAATGTAAAATTTCCCATGAGCTTGAGGGCTCATACACGCTTCAGTTCCTCCAGCTTCACAGCAAACCCACCTGTACTGTAGGAACAAGGGTCAGGTGTCCGGCAGAGTGCCTCGCGCTTGTAGTACACACTTGAAGCTATTCCAGGCATGTGTGGTCCCCAGGAGCCACACACTTCACCATGTCTGGGGTGTGTATGATCCACTGTTAGGAAGGGGAATCAGATCCTGATGAAGGCGAGGGGTTCTCTGCTGAAAGCCTTGCTGTTGTTCCAAGACAGAGGCTGCAGATTGGTAGGCTGTGGGCCAGACTCGGTCTGCAGATGGTTGGTTGTGGTAGTGTCTTGTCTTCTTGTTCAGTGTTTCTTAAAAATGTGAATTAAACTTGTCAAACTTTAAAAACCATAAATTTCATATAAAAAGCTGATTTCTTTTTTTGTTTTCTTCTTTTTTCCCCCCACCCTTCTCATGAGGAACTGAAAGATAGTTCCACAGTGACAGATGACAGCTTTAGAGGAGGGATGTGCTTATTGGTCCACCCAGCCCCCACCTTGGCTATCTTCATGTTTATTTTCTGCCTGACCTTGGAAACTTGATTCATGGTTAAGGCCTTGTTCTTTGAGGCTCCTCACTTGCTCAGCCCTGGTGCTGCTCTGTCCCTGCCCTGATACCTTTGGTGTCTGGTCTTCGTGATCTTTTTGATGTCCTAATGACTTTCTTCCTTTTAAAGATGTAATTGCCTGTGCATGATTAATATTGACACCTCATTTTTTAAACTAAACACATTGTTTTATAGATCTTGCTTTTTTCAACTTGCACTTGGCTTTTCTCTGGTTAGTCCATAAAGAACGACATACATACGTTTATGGTAATTATCTCAATTTGTGTGCTTGATTTAACACTTCGTATCAGCTTCTTCCCTTTTCTGAGTGATACACAGTAGGTTTAAATCTTTAAAAAAAAAAGGCCTACTGGGGTAAAAATGGTCAGTTGGGAATTTTAGGCCTCCTGTTGATATCAGTGGGAAGTCTTGATTAGGGTTGAGAACTATTTCTTTGGATTGTAATCTTGATGGCACAGTTGGCATTATCCTATTCCTGTTACTTCCTAGAACTCTCTTCTCTGTAGTGTAAGTATTGCTTTATGTTGCCAGCAGTTTATCTGGTCATTCATTTTGTACCTTCACACTGCTTTTCACTAAATCTTGGCTTCTGCATAAGCTTGGATTTTGCATGAAAAAAATTCAGAATTAAAAGTAAAAAAATGCGATGGAATTTACTGGTGATTGATACCTACCTTTTTGGGAAAAAAAGTCTCAGTATCAATCAGCATAGCAAGCAACAGAACAGTGCCAATTCATGAATGATGTAGTCAGTTGACAGGCAAATACCAACTAGAGTGTCTGTAAGAAAACTGTTTATTAGGGTGAAAAAGGTCTACAGTTATCTCCCCTTGCAGTTTCACTGCATGAGTCAACTTTCAAAGAAGTCCTATTTGGGGCATTACACTTATATTTTGAAAAACCTAAGACAACTGCAGTTTTTTAAAAATCAGCTCCACTTCTGGTAATTATTTACTTCAAATTAACACTGCCAAAAAAAAGAGTTTTGTGCATGGTTAGAACTGGCTAAGTTTAAAATAAATTTAGTGGAGTAAATGAATTTTAAAAGTAAACTGGTACAAGACTTGAATTTGGTTTTTATCTCTAAGAGACATTTTTCTTAAAATGTTGAGCTGCCTTTGATAACATATTTTTAAGCTTCTTTACCTATTAAGTGATCTGATTTGTATTTGCCTTTGAAATCTTTTACTGTCATTTTTGTTGTTGCTGTTGTTCAGTTGCTAAGTTGTGCCCTACTGTTCGCAATCCCATGGACTGTAGCACACCAGGCTTCCCTGTCCTTCAGTATCTCCTGGAGTTCGCTCAAACTCATGTCCATTCAGTCAGTGATGCTATCCAGCTATCCCATCTTCTTCTGTCATCCCCTTGTCCTCCTGCCCTCAATCTTTCCAAGCATCAGGGTCTTTTCCAATGAGTCGGCTCTTTGCATCAGGTGACCAAAATATTGTTGTTTCAGTCACTTTTGTTAAGAGAATGTTATTCTGCAGTGACCTATGATCCTGTCTGACCAAGGGTTTTCAAACTTTTTGATAATTTTTTTTTTAACAAAACTTCCCAAATCAAATTCTAATGAAGTTCTTTTGACCCCTAGCTAATTTTGGGTTGCTTCAAAGGGCCCCTGGAAAACTTCAGAGATATTAAACTAATTAGGTTAATTTGGTATGTTAAATTTCATGGTAAGTACTGTCAAATGAGTAATAAATCTTAGGTTATGTTATAAGGGGAAATGTTATTAACATAGATATTCCAGAAGTTGCATGGAATTCTTAAAATCTGATACTCCCAGTAAAATTATCACTCATAATTCTAGTTATTAAAGTGTTATATGTTATAGCAGTAACCAAATTTGTCAATTGCATTGTAGTCAGATTTTAAAAGTGCCATATGTCTTTTGTCATTGTTGACATTTATGGTTTTATTCTGATGCTTTTACAAAAATGCTCCTCTTCAGAAAGATTTATGGGAAGAACATTAGGACCAGTACAGGTTTCTGACTCTCAGACAATAATGCTGAACTGGGTAAGAAATTAAGGAATTCTGAAAGGAAACCTGATGGCTTCATAAAACTCTTAACAATAGAAGTGAATGAACTGATGACTCTGGCTGTAGTTTTTATGGTTTCTATCTGAAAAGTAACTGGTTTTAACCTGTTTTCCAGATACAAGGAAACCTTCCTCCTCAAGCTAATTATGACTTGGTTTGGTAAATTATGCTTTTGTAAACTGAATTGAAACATTTATCTCACCTATCTGACCCCTCCAGAGATTGGAAATGCTTAGGTTCCTAGTAGCTTTGTCTGATATATTAGGAAGGACACCTCCTAACAGATACAGGAATCTTAAGGAAAGGAATTCACCTGTCTGTGAGACTGTCTGTGACAAGCCCTTGGGTATGACTTTCCTATTTCTGAGAGGCCTTTTATAGGTTCAGTCGGAGACTCCTTATAAAAGAAGTTCCCTCAAAGCTATTAAAAAAAAAAAGCCTATGCAATCAACTATATTTATATAAATCATCAGGCCAAGTTTATTGAGATCAGACTTACTCTGGAAACAAATTAGTCTTAATTTGGTAGAAATGAGAGTAATTTTAGAAAAAGATCCTTTCAGTGAGTACTAAATTCTAGTTGTGTTGAGGTCTGCATTTATGAAAACTCAGTTTTCAGATGGTTCCTTGCTGTTATATTAAGTTTAATTGAATAATTAATAGGACAGCCTAAGTTTGTTTCTGAAGCTTATCTCAATAGTCTGTCTTTAGAGGAAGATCAGGTATCCCACAACCTGCAAGCAGTATTGTGTGTACTGGAAATGACATCTTTTAAAGGCCCACCTCCCACTTAGGTAGAAAGATCCTTATCAGGTACTCTGCACTAGCTCATGCACTGCAAAATTGAAAGAAATTGACTGTTGGATTAATATTTCCACTTAAAAAGGGCGCCTACACTGGGTTGGTCTACAGAGAGGACTGCTGATCTCAAATTCACCTTCAAACGACGCTCAAACAGAGGAGAAACTACACTCAGACCAGGATGAGAAAAAGACAACATCAGAAGTAGACAGCTGACTGAAGATGCTGGACCTGACCCGTAAGATCATTTATTGTGTTTCCTTGATTTCTTGGGCCTTTGTACTTAAATCAGATGTTTTTCTATCATGGCCATGATCCTGAGCTGGTTTTAAAATTCAGTCCAGTTGTTGGGTTTGTGCCCAATTACCTGTGTCTAGTATTTCTTGTTACCTTGGATTTCTCCTCTCCTTTTGGTTGGCTCTTAGGAAATTTATTCTAAAAGAAAGAAAGAAATTATAGTTCTGTTCCAGACACTATTATTAGGTGATATCCCTTCACCTGGCCAATTAATAATACCTTCTCTGACCCTGGCCATAAATAGACATTTTCAAATTCAGTCAGAGCAACAGACAAAAAAATTTTAGCCAAAGAATATAGCTTCACACAATTTTGAGACTATGTGGTTAACACTAGGCTGTGTCCATTTAAGTTTAAAGACTCTCTTATGTTGGGTAGAATTAAACCATACTGTGGATAGCCAGGGCTTCCCAGGTGGCTAAAGAGGTAAACAGTCCACCTGGAGGAGGAGATGGCAACCCACTCCAGTGTTCTTGACAGGATAATGCTGGCAGGCTGCAGTCCATGGGTTCACAACACAAGACAGATACAACCGAGCAAACACGCACGCTCAAGGATAGCCAGCCTGGTTACACTAGGAAGTTGGGCTGGGTGCCTTACGGACAATGCCAGGATTGGTAAACAGACAACCTGGGCTTGCTCCTTACCAATACTGGTAG